GTTATAAAAAAAAAAGAGTACAATTGGGAACCGCGAATCTCTGCGTAACTGCGATAAAGGCAACAAAATGAAAGGGCCTTGAACTTACAACATAGAAGGATGCACGCACAATTCAAAATCATGCACATATTTAAGGTTTCAAGGCAAAACAACATGAAACACAGTTCTACCAAACAAAAACAAAAACAGAAAATATAAAAATAACTTGTAGCTCTTCCACATTCTTTATGCTTTGTTATGGGTATTGATTCATATGCGTATGAATATACGTGCATGTATTGGTGTCGATTTTAGTTTTTATTTCGCAACGTGCATTAAGCCTAGGCAATTTTGTACCCGTTTCGGCAAGCTACAATATTTAACGGAACCGCGAAAACTTTCGACAGAAATCGATTGCTGCTAAATTGACTAATTAATTTAAAGCGGAGAGGCTCCTGAAAGTGACTCTGAGCCTGGAAGAATTACCGGCAAGTGCTTCCATCTGCCGGAAGGGTTCCGGGACTAATTGTACACGTAACTGATGCGGCGATCAAGCGTTCGCCGTGCTCTCTTGTATGACGGAGTCCCAGTGCTAATCTCGTTGCGTGTGATGATCTCCGTAATAGTGCATGTGTGTAGCAATAGGATATATTGTTGTAAATCGTTTATAATATTCGAATTAACCAAAAGTTACGCATCTCAGCGCGAGTAACGTAACGTTGCGAAGACAAGTTCATTCTGCGATAAGGATAGGAGAAACTCGAGTTGAACGAGATTTTTACGCATATTTGAAGTGGAAAGCATACATATTGTCAGCGCATTCTCACCACGAATATTCAACATATTCCTGTAATGTTTCGCTGGCTTCTAGATTTATTTGCGTATTACAAAAACATTATCGTATAAATAATAAAAAAAATAATACAGAAGAAACAAATGTAACTTGGAAAGCGTATTAGTAAATGTCCGGCAGTATGTAACTCAAGAAAGATTGGGTTCTGGGTTCTGACCTAAACATTTCGACCGCTACCAAAATGTTGGAAATGTGAAAATATGCTAAAAAGGTTAATATTTCAGAGCTGGCGTTTTACTTCCCAAAATCTTGAAGCGTCGTTTCAGTCCTTCGGGAAAGTAGACGAACATAACCTTGAGTATTCAAAGGGGCGGTGCAACGGTATGCTTTGGCTTCCAGTCGCTATGCATCGCACATTGAAGCTTGTGTCAAGAAGTTTTGTATGAAATTGAACACTTTGTAAAAAGAAAAAAGAAGAAAAAGAGTAGCATACAAGGTGTGTCCTTTGCTACAAATATTGGCCACTTGTTGGTCTTACCGTCGCAGTATGCTTTTTAGTTGAAAATAAATGCCGTTAGAGTACGAGCTTGGTTTTCGAGCGCCAACATCGACTCGCACGAAAGGCCACGAAGTGCTTTGGGCGAGCCCAGAAACGCGCGAAAGTTGAAAATGCGCGTAAAACATCTGCATGCGATATGTGGCGCCATCCCGTATCATTTGCCCGAACCGTTGAAATATGGGATGTTTGGCCGTCGAATATGTAGTTGTCACAAGGCGCTAGGTTACTAACACAAAAAGGGGTATACAATGTCCCATCAGAACTAGGACATATTTATCTAGAATTTGCCAGATGAAGGAGGGTTTCAGCTTCTTTTAAACAGGTAATTTCTGAACGTCATATGTTGTATCGGCAGTTAGCTCAGGCAAGTTCAACCGCAGGGCTAGAGAAACCTCACAAGACCTCTGGGACAATAATATTTGTAGGTACATAGGACATTAAATACAGTTAAATATTAACACGATTGAATTTTTCCATGCACCCCCCCCCCCCCCCCCCCCCCCTCTGGCTACGTGCCTGTAGCTTCTGAATAATGTTATAGTATCTATAGGGCCTAGCCTATATAGCTTGTCGCGTAGTAGGTTTCACACAAATAATTACGTAAATATTAAGGAAAGCTGATGAAAAATATCACGTTTCCAACTATTTTACAACCAGTCAATTGAGGCTTCTCGTATTCTTCATTCGGTAATTAGCACTTCACATTTTTTTCTTTGTTTCTGCAGTATATGCGACAATTTCTGTCCTTTTATCAAACGAACTAGTTTTTATCTTTTGACCACTGGTGGGATACTTTGTTGAGGGCGAAGCACTAGTATGTTTGTTAGACTTAAGGGACCTGGTCAGCAGAATAGTCGTGGACGGACTTTAATAATATAAAGTTAGATGTACTTTCGATATTTTCGGAAGATTCCTGGTGCTCCGGCTTTCTATGTGAACAAGCACCTTTATAACCCTGATTGCTCTCATAGTGTGATGGTGAAACCATCGTCATAGTACAAATATATTGTATTTATGCTACTTCAAATCAAGTTAGTTTAATGTTGTTTACTCTTTTAAAATGAGCGTGTTGGTATTGGATAAAGACTGACGAAAGAATTACACATAGATAAGCAAAAACTTTGAGAGCACATCCTTCGATTTTCATCGCAAGTATTTTAATTTCTGCAGGCAGCGGACCCCGAAGTTTTTGGCCGGGAAAGGGGAATCGGACGAGGGGGGTAGGAAATTGAAAACCGGCTCTTTTGAGGAGAAAGAGGTAAGTTTAAGGTGACACTATCAAAGAGGCGGAACAAAACCTGTGGTCGTGCCGACGAACGAGAAAAAGAGGGGGGGGGGGGGGGGCACTCCCGAGGTGACCCTCTCATAATGCCCATTCCCTCCCGTCGCAAAGCTGTCAGCCCCGGTCTCAGGAACGCTGTCTCTGCCTCTGATAAAGAGAGAGATGGTGACGAGATATTCTGAGTCGACTCTTTTATGGCGTAGGATTCTGGAAGTTCGCGCCCATAGCGACCCCTTTTTTTATGGGGGGTTCTAACAAAGAAAATATTATTCAAACTCGCGTTCGCGAATATTCAGCAAGATAGTGCCCTATATGTTGGAAGGCCCCTAAATCCTCAGAAAAAGCAAAATACATTCTAAGAAGCCAAAACTCCAAAGTGGGCTTAATAATTCATATAAACCTTTAGTGAGCATTAGTTTACAAACATTTTATTTACATTTAAATAAACTAGGGGTCCTGGAAAACCAGCAAATAATTTTGATGTTAATCGGACAATACGGTGCACGATAAAAAAGCTCGGTAAAAAAATACTTCATTTAAATAATATATGAATACCTAAAATTGAAAAGAACTTCCTTCCGCAACCCGATCCAGTACGAAATGTAAAGGTGGAGTTTCATTTCAGCCTTTTATTTCGAATTATACAACATCAAGCATTGTAAAGAATGTCCGAGTCATGTTTTCAAGGGTGCAAAAAAGGCTATTACAGTGCAGTGCGGTGAGGCTTTTGTACCCGCTTCGAAACGTTGTTGGAGAGCGCGTTTCAAAGTTCGTGTTGAATCAGTGCTGCTTTTAAAATACTGTAAAGTAGAAGGCAAATTTCTTGGAACTCGAGAAACTAGGATTTGTGTGGATTCGTGCGGAAATTAGGATTCTGTCGAGAGAGTAGGAACATGCATTCACCTTTATTGATTTCTGAGGCGTTCGCCGACTAATGAGTATACCTTTATGTTGACAACAGTGCGCGGTTCCGCTAGTTAAAAAGCAGGGTCTTGAGGCGCTCGATCACAGTCAAGCCAGTCAAGTATACGGGTTGGACGCTGAATGTTCGGAGAGTGAGAGGTCGGTCTGTTCTTGAAATGTCCTAGTAACACTGGTTCACGTTCTGGAAGGACGTGAACCAGTGTTACTGGGGCTCAGCTTGAGTTCTCATAAATCTGAGCTGATGGCCTTTGGGAGAACAGAGGGAAACAGGACTGCCAATCTGTCCATTCAGGGTAACCCCCGTAGATGGACCGCTACAAATATCTGGGTGTAGACGTGCAGACGGGACACCATTACCTCCTAGAACACGAGACGAAGGTCAAGGCAAGGAGCAGGAGGAACAAGGGCATAGCAACGGCCAGGGGCCGATGAGGCTATAGCCGATGTGAGGTCGCCCGAGCAGTCTGAAAGATCGTGGCGGTGCCGGGGCTCACGTTCGGGAACGCGGTGTTGTGCCTGTCATCAGGTACCCGCCACTACCTCGAGGTGCGCCAAAGGGAATCGGGAAGGTCGGCACTAGGAGCAAGCCGATCAGCACCGAACGAGGCCGTCCAAGGAGACATGGGCTGGTCCAGTTTTGAGGCCAGGCAGGTTCGAGCCAAGCTGGGCTTCGAGCGACGCCTCAGCCGGATGAGCGAAGAGCGCTGCGCCAGACAAATTTTCAAGTATGTGCATCTTCGGTCCGTCTCGACATGGTGGGGGCGACGGATGCGCCAGCTGGCACTGCGGTACGAAGTCAACAGCCCACTCCTCTACCCAGCCGCGGAGCAGCCGGAACTACAGTAGAGCATCCGCGCAAGGGGGACCGAGATCGAGACGCGGCGGTGGGCGGAAGCAGAACGTCGGAAACCATCGCTGGCCCTGTATGCTAGAGAAACAGGAGGTGAATCGAATATCCTTCATGGACAACAGCGGGGGTAGTGCATTGCTTTCCGACGCCCGAAGCGGCATGCTGCGGACTCACGTGCTTCGCGCGAAGTACACGGACGTGGACTTGAGGTGTGTCGTGTGAGTGCAAGGAGCAGACGAGACATCGGAGCACGTTATGCTAGAATGCACAGGCCTGAAGCCGGATGTTACGTGTGCATCAGACATAGCAGTGGCGCTGGGCTTCTGGGGCGTTGACGAACAGCACGCCGCCGATCGTTGGCAACCAGTGGAGATAACGAAGCGGAGACTGGAGTGCTCGTGGAGGAGGACAAGAAAACACGAATAGGACATTGGCTAGTGTCGCTACTAGTCAGGCTAGATCCAGCGCTGCTGAGATTCCCCGATACAAAGAAGTTAGCCCCACATCCAATCCAGTCCAAGAACAATGGCAGCCAGCAGAGTGTGGCTGTCAAAAAGAAAACGAAACCGAAAGCCGGCATGACGCAGTTTCACAAGAAAAGAAAAGGAAGATAATGGACACAGATGAGCTTATGGCTGTGCAAGATCCTCGAAGACGACCAGTGAGGACATTGAGTCCTACTATTGAGAGTTACCACTGGTTTAGGACGTTTTTAGGTACGTTTAATGGAGACACTGCCCAAGAAATCACCATAGCCGACCTCCAACAAGCCCTGAACGGAAGTAATGCGACAGACATACTGAAAGAATTCCTGAACATTTCAAGGGAACAAGGTAGAAATGTCTTCACTATAAACGAATGCCTCGGCGTTTTGCACGCCAAAGAATTTCTGAAAGCAAAGCCTTTATTGAAGCGTGTGCTCGGATTCTCCACAATTATCGTGGTCGCAAAGCAGAAACGTCGAAGCGCAATCATCGAGAAGGTGAGTAGTTTGACGAGTTGTTCAAATGAAAACCTCGACGACCCTATGGGCGTCCTCAGGAGCTATGGCTTGATATGCATTCACCAAACTCCCATGTTTATCATCGGCATATCGGCTGTTCAGATGGCTGTGTTTGCATATAATTGCGTATACCCTTCTTGTGTTCAACCGCGCAACGTGTGCCAACTTCCTTGCAACAGTTCGCTAATCTTCAGCCCACTCAAGCGTCGGGAGTTGTGGAGATTCCTGTCATACGCACTTGTGCACGACGGACTTTTGCACATGGGCAGCAACATCATCCTGCAGCTTGCTTTCGGGCTGCCGCTGGAAATGGTTCACTCCTGGTGGCGAGTCATGATCGTGTACTGCTCTGGCGTTCAGTGTGGGCCCCTTGCGCAGTTCTTCTTCAACCCTCACGTCTACCTCGCCGGCTCTTCGAGTGGTGTCTACGCTTTGCAGACGGCGCATTTGGCGCACATTGTTACCAACTTCAGAGACATGGAGTTTGTCTGGATGCGATTGCTGGGTCTGCTCTTTATCTATGGCAACGACTTGTACTGGGTTCTCACTGGGCCCCAGCGTAGGCAAGGCCGTTACTTCAGTTACGCAGGTCACTACGGAGGAGCCCTAGCTGGACTTTTGGTGGGCGTTCCGGCTCTTAAGACAGTTCCCCTAGGAAAATGGGCTCGATATCTTGAACACGGCATTTTGTCTGTTTTTTGCACCGCCCTTTGGGCTGTTATGTTTTGGAACGCGTTTGGGATTTCATAGATTCAAAACACGAAAGACAGTTAATTTACAGCTCATTTAAAGTTCTGTTGCACGTGTTTAAAAATAATCGCGACAATATTAGAAAAAGAAGTTGCAATGAGGCCTTTGGGAAAATATTTTGTTGAAAATGATCCAGCTCTGTGGAATGAAGAAATATAAACTTAATTGTATGAGAATTAAAATTATCAGAATTGCTTTCTGAGTTATTAAAAAAAAAAAAACAATGTGGGGATACCGCACAACGCAGGTATTTGACTGGTGAATGGCAGTGCAAAAAAGAAATGAGTAAATAGCCGTTATGTTAGCTTATCCATATCGGCGACTATATTACGTATCACAAGTGAACACTAGAGGCGAAGGCAACGCCATGCAAAGAAAGAAAGGGTGAGCACTAGGAACGCGGGACGGGAGTGGAAGGCAATGGAGGGCGAGAGGAGCAAGGGAAAGCACTAGGAACATTAGAAAGGAGATGAGGTTTCTCTTCTCCTCCACAGCTTTTTTAGTGCTTGCCATTTCTCCCCTCGCCTGCCGTTGCCTTCGCCTGTACTTCCTGCACCTAGTGACATAAAGAATAGATGTTGCACTGATCATTATTGCAGTGCTTGTAAGTATGGTTGTAAATCTTCGGCACTTAACATGTTTGATAATGATTGAGTAATTTTCATAAATCCAAATGTTATTGGCGCAGTAGAGTTTTTCTACTTTTGACTGGGGTGCCTTCATATGCACACGTCCATCTTAAAGCTCGCTCACACTTGTGGAAAACTCTCTTGACCCCAACTGAATTTTCGGGGCCACTGAAATACCGTGCCGTTCTGCTTTGCTGCCACCCGCTCCGGTTCCTCGCGGATATCAGAGCAGAGGATGGCCAACATTCTCTCGGCTATAAAGAGCATTCACTGGCGGCCATAGCTGTGTGCGCGAATGCTGAGCGCGTGCTGATGGCAAGCTTCCACAGTTCTTTTGCAACGTGCATTCCGCACCATCAAAAGTACCGGTCTTAGCAGCCCATTGATGTGAGCTCGTTCTGAGCATGCGCTCTAAACAGCACCCACAAATATGGCGTCTAGTGAATACTCCCTATATGAGGATGCAATATTAAAATAACGAGCTAACGGAGAAGGCGCGTATACAGCACGTGCTGCTCACCCGAATTTTATTCCACAGATCTTCTTTCTTCATACAAACTTTGGGAGAGAGCACTGACCAGCTCCAACCTCGATGACCAGCTCATGCTCGTGTCGAGGGCTGTAGAAGCAGGGAAAGCTCAAGGCGTCTTGGACTAAGGACTCCTCCCCATCACTTTCTCATAATAAAGGTGTTTATTCTCTCTCTTGCGGGTACTGTCTTTGTATGTTAGATGCCTCTGGTAGAACAGAATGGAATGAAATTTAGTCTCGATGGTCTCGATGACTATTTCTGCTGACACAACGATACCAGCCAGAGGGTGGCATTTGCACAACTTCAGAACTCGGACGGTTCCCAGCGGGAACCCCAACAACTCAAACGAATCGGGCAGGATGTGACGTCCGCACACGCTTTTTCCTCCTTGCGTTCTGATTGGCTATGTCAGCGTGGAAACTTATTCTGCGCTGGAAAGCTCGGTACCGAACCGATTCCTCCCACGGTTGAAAATTTTGTCCCCCCCCCCCCCCCCCCGGCGTCACTAGGAACTTTGAGCACACCCTTACCGTACTACCGTTACCGTGGGCCCGACCGCGCATGCGCGACTCGTACCGGCGTGACGTGCCTGAAACGCGTTACCGTGGTTGCCTTACCATGATACCGCGGCCCTGTGTTCAACATGGCGGCGTTCACGCTCCGTCACTGCAAGCGTTAACGAGACGCGTACTGTTTCAGAATGCTGGAGGAGCCATTTAGAAACACTCGTAGCGGAAAATATTGCTGGAGGATCCCTATTTAGTGGCGAGAGCTGCTTTTATGGACGATTTAAACACGCGTCAGATTCAGCCGCCACTGCCGACGTTCTCTATACTCTGTTTCAGCTTGTGTTGTGCCGCAGGAAAGGCTACAAGCGCGAGCTCCTTGCTCTATGGCACATCTCGGCGGCACAAGCTCTCGTGCACCCAGGGCAGCTGCGAACGCTATGAGCTCGCGCTTCTAGCCTTCGCTGAGGTACAACATAAGGTGAAACGGAGTATAGTCTTACTGAGATGCGGAGCCACTGGAGCGGGCGTTGGCGAGCCTCCATAAAGGCTTATGCTGGGGACAGGTACACAGTAGCACCTAAAGGGGCAAAAACGTGCCCTGCTCTAGCAGTGATAAAGTGAGCGAACGAAATAAGAGGGTCATCATAACAACAGTGGAAATACAATACACGCACGCGCACCCCCCCCCCCCCCCCCCCAAGAGACACATAACGCTGACTTACAACCCGATTGCAGTTAATGTTATTATTATGATGCTTCACCAACTCGCCCAAGCTGCCATCCTCGGAAGGAATCAGAGGGAACAAAAACTGAAGGTCGGGTCTGGCAGCGCCCGTGCACAGCTGCCTGACAGCTTTTTTAACGATCCTGGCACGTTGCAGAACGGGAATGTTTTTCTTCTCTCTTCGCAAAAAAAAAAAAAAAAAAAGAAAGAAATCTTTACGATGAGATTGTAGCTGCCTTTGTGGCTCCATTCTGTTTAAAGCATTTCATAGTCAGTGCATTCATCATGCGCTCGTTGTCTTTCGCCGCGATTCGGCTACGTGTTTACTCCAACTAGAAGCTCTGACTTCAGCGCGAGTTCGCTGGCTTCCGGAGTGCTTTGGTTGCGCTTGTCTGCGTGTTCACACTTGTGTTATCAAGGACAGAAAACTCGGCCTGAAGGCAAAGCATCCAGTCTCAGCTTAAGGTTGAACGGAGTATGGACGGTTGCAATCAAGTCCACTGGCCGCCGCCATGTTTCAACTCGTGCGGAAAAGCCCGTGCAGCTTCTTGAAGCTATGTTCACCCGCAAGCTGAACGTGCATGCACTCATGGAGCATCAGACCGGGGGGGGGGGGGGGGGGGGGGGCACAATGCTTGCAATTGTTTATAGCTGCGTGAGCACTCTTCCGCTTTCAAGAAGAGAAGTCTCTTCGCCTGTCACCGTGACTATTAGCGGCGAGATGTTTTGGTGGCGCCTTCCTATGGTTTCCTCTCGTGACGTCATTACCTCGCAAGCGACAAGTTCGGTGGAATTTATAAAAAGAATAGTGGAAGCTTGACAACGTTGCGCTCTGAAACCAACTCCGCGAACACCGTAAAAAAAAAAGTTCTTACATTACTCTTATGCCCGTCAATGAGAAATCCTTTGATGACGTCATGTCAGCATTTGACCAATCTTGGAAGCCCAACCACAGCGACGCTTTCGATCGCGCACATCGCCAATAGGGAGTGTTCACGTGCGGCCATAGCTGTGTTCGTGACTGCTGAGCGCGTGCTGATGGCGAGCTTCCACAGTTCTTTTGGTACGTGAATCCCATACCATCGAGATTGCCCATTCTAGCTGCCTATAATTGTGAGCTCGTTCTAATTGAGCCATAACCTCCTCTATACTGACAAAGCCTGGCAGATCGCCACGAGACGCGGCCGCCGAAAAGTAAAAAGGTAGAGCGGCAGACAACGGATGAGAGGAGAGGAATATAACGGGCGCCCCGCTGCGGCGAGACGCCGAATCACACTTCTCCTGAGCGACGGGATGTCCGCTCGTGCTCCTCGAGCTCCTCGCGCTACCTCTTCTTTTCTGGTCGGTTTTGAAAACTATGTTTTGTGTCCTCCCCACCGCAAAAGCTGTGGGCTCAATACCAGATTCGCCGAGAAATGCTCTCTGCTACGAGATCCTCGCGCTCAAAATCTGCGACCGGGCACCCTATTGCTCCGTCGTCGAGCTGCCAGGCTTTGTTAGTATAGAGGAGGCCATGTCTAAGGGTATCTCTAGAATAGTCTGTAAAGGGGTATTCACACAAGGGAGAAATCCCGGGAATTTCTTCCCGGCACGCGCATCCCACGACGAAAACGTCAGGCTTTGCGATGTGCAAAAGCCTCGCGTTTTCATCTCGTGATGCGCGCGTGCCGGGGAGAAATCCCCGGGATTTCTCTCTGGTGTGAATACCCCTTAAGAGACGAACGGGATGGCGATAAAGCCCCTCGATATGTTTGCGTTTGTCGTGCAAGTAGCGCCAAATGCGCGAGTGCACGAGACCCACGTCTCGAGCGGCCCTTGGAAGCGAATGGCGGCGCAGCACTGAAATGAGCGGCCCTAGGAAGCAAATGGCGGCGGAGCACCCGCTCGTGGCACGTGTCTCGCGCGTTTCCACAACAATGGTTGGCGGTACTTGTAAAAAAACGCCTTTATCAAGGGGCTTTAGATGGCGAGAGTCACGCGCTCGCGAGCTGAGCAGCGTTCGATTTCGAATCCTGGCCGTTCCGTTTCTGCAAAAACTCGTTGCGTTGGAAGCGTTTTCTAACAACTTGTTGGGCCCGGTCCCCCGTTTTCAGGGCCCGCTGGCTGAACGACCACCTCCACCTTCCCCTGCCTGGGAGCGGGATTTTCCCACTTTTGGAGGGACTACGGACAACCACAACTTTCGCAAGGCGACTCTCCTGTAAGATCTGGAACAGCTGAAGAAGAAAGAGCATGGCAAATCCACCCCACACTTAGCTACCAGAAAGCAGCCCTGAAGAGACACCTGCTAAAAAGGTAGGATCCGTTTACACTATACCGGACGAAGAACTGCAAGCTTACTCCGAACATAAGTCAGAACTCCCGAACCTTAGGGAATACATAAAAAACAAGGCAGCTTTTCTTGAATTTCAAGAGAACCAGGCCGCTATTGCCGAGCATGCACAGAACAAAGCGACCGTTACGGAGTACGTGCAGAACAGGGCCCATTTTCAAGAATACGTGCGCCAAAACTCCACTGGGAACTCATCGGCTAGTGGTAGCGATGTTGTCTCGGGCAGCTCTAGCGCGGAAGCGAGTCAGCAACATATAGCGTCCATGGACGAGTA